ACAGACCTTTCTAGACAGTCCAGCGGAACGCTAGCAGGCTCACAACCTGTACGTGTTTGTGAACGATGTGTTCACCGGTGTACTCCATCCGCCTCATGGTTGCCTTACGGACATATATGGCTGAGGAATCCCCTTAGCAGTATTGTCCATCCCGATGATGATCCTTAGGCTAGGTCCCTTATGATAGCTTTTTAGGGACGTAAAGTAAGGATATCGGGAATGGGTAATCAGAGTTATTGTTGGTTGATGAAATTAATAATTTATTGTTGGTTGATGAAATTAATAAATTTATTTATTGTGGGTTGAAAACCCTATGTGCTCACCAGGCTCGCAAGCCTGACCCAGTCAGCTTTCTGTATTACAGGTAGTGGAACAAGACTATAGTTGGATGATGACGAGGGATTTTGGATTATAGGCCAGTAGATGTAAATAAAGGTTGTAAGGCCTATATCGTATTATTTATGCTTTTGGTCTGTATCGATGTTGACATCCCGAGTTTTGTAATGAAATGAAAAATACATTTCTTTAAGAAATGCTTTGATAAATTTTTATCATATTTTTGTTTTGAGAACAAATTCCGCATCACTTTTATTTGAAATATTACTTTGATATTATTATAAAAGCATAAATGAAATCGGTCTTTTCTGGCCGTGAAAATGGGATGTCATAACAACTGCCCAACAAACATTATTCCATGCATAAATTTTTACTCATTTTATGATTAGACTGACTATCCGCTTGCTCTTGGTATACTACTCCAAGTTGACCCTCATTTGAAATATAATCCCAAACGATTCACCCCCAGTTGGAATCATCTAAACCTTATCCACCACGTAACCATTCTAGTTTCCAAGCCATCTACAATTTCACTACTCAAGACCTCCACCAACCTGAGCTTTGTAAATATTAACATTTCATTTCCAGACGACCTAGCATATATATATCATAAAATTTGGATGAATACACCCCACTATCTCAATGAAAACCTAATATTTCTTAGCACCTTTCACTGATACAGTTTTTTAAAAAACCTCGAGAGACTTCAATGGATGAAGAAGAACGAATAACCCAATTATCGTAAACGGATAGATAACCAATCCATCAACCCACATGTACATGCAATCAACCACGCCCTGAAGGTATGAATTTGACAACTAGTAACATTACACCCGCGATTTGACCACTCCTTCATTACATCACAATCACAAGTGATCCCTACACTTCCTACACTTAAATCCGACATGCTCACGTGGCAGCTTCCTCAGACTCTTTGCTGAAACCAAGAAAATCAAATCGACTGTTGGTTCTCTAAGTAGAACACACAATCTTCCACCACTTAAGGCTTTGATCTTTCATTGATCGACGTCTCCCACATCGAGGCCTAAACCTACTCACCTAAATACCCTCTAAGCACGACTCTCGGTATGAAAAATGGCATATGATATTTTCTTGAAATATAATAACTAGACCATCATAAGGAAATTCTGATTCCTAGGTGGAGACTTAAATAAACTGAACATAGGGTCTTGCACACACAATCACACAATCATAAGAATAAATAATAATAAGAGCAGGAAGGAAGTGAATGTAATACATAATTGCGACGTCAGCTGATGGAACTCGAATCTAATCTCCCTTCAACTGAAACGCTCGGCTCCTCATTACCACAACTCCACTCTGCCCTCGCGACCATCAGTAATCCTCAGTGTAGTTGGGGCTTGTGACCACACCGTTGCACCTATCAATCCCGGACAATCGGCTATCTTGTGGCCTACTAGGTTGAAGTGGAAGCATATCAGACTCGATCCCTAAGGGCAATCCCCTGCTGCCATGACCAATCCCGCCATACTTGTAACAACCCATAACTCTAGATCGACATACCCTATCGTGTTGTTTCCCGTACTTGCCGTAATGGCCCCGGTCCTACTGGCCCCTAGGTCATGAATCGAAATCTTGGACTTCTTTGCTGAACCCTCGACTATCTGCACCTGCTTTTCCTTCCTCTTCGAGAGGTGCTCTAAGTCAATAACCCGCTCTTGGGATCTCGCTATCATATCCTCCAATGTCCGACAAGCTAAAAAGCAAACAAACTCCTTGATATCTGCTCTCTGCATATCATGGTACCGAGTCTTCTTCATTTCCTCGTCTCTGACATATTGTTGGACCTGTAAAGCTCTTTCCTTAAACTTGGCACTGATCTCCGCCACAACCTTAGTCATCTGGCACAGGTCCTAAAACTCCCTCGCCATCTGTTGCAGCTCGATAGCCGGTGGAAACTTTGCTCTAAATTTGGTCACAAAATCAGGCCAGGTCATGGCCTCAAAAGCCTGTGCTCCCAGAGTATATCTAACCTCCTCCCACCAATCACAAGCTCGCTCCCTAAAACACCCTGCAATGAACCTCACCTTCGAACCCTCGGGATAGAAGCTCGTCATATGGGCACACTCAATGTCAGCTATCCATCTCCTGATGATAATGGGGCCTTTCACCCTGAAGAACTCTGGTGCCCCGCATCCCCGAAAATCATTGAATGTGAGGGTGCAGGCTCCATACTGTCCAACAGACAACTCAACTCGAAAGGTTTGGAAGCACTCCTCCATCATCTCAACGATCCCTTCCTTGATTGTCCTGAACATCATATGGGACGCATCAAGGATACCTCGCGTAATCTCCGACACGATGAACTCGTGTAATCCCTTATCAATTGGTTCGACACCATAGCCCGAACTATAATCAGATTCTGAACCACCCGCTGGTGTCATCACCATACTGAAATACACTATGTAAACAATGAGAACACGTACAAAGAAGCACACACTCTATAAGTTTCTCAGAATCATCAAGACTTTCCTTGCCTCATGTACAGATCCTATGCTTTCAGTAGTACGAGCCCAATAGTAACTTCCACACCTATCTATACCTTCCTTAATGGTCTCCCTGAATCCTCTAATACCTTCTAACTTCCTCATGAATACGATCACATGCCATAGGCACTTGATAATTTTTCGACTGCTAAGTCTCCCCCTACAATGGTTGGAATTAGACAAGAGCTGCGCAATAGAGTTAAACCTAATATTCTAAAATTATTTAATCCCTGCAACATGTAACTTAATGTATCCGCTTAATACTTATATGATAGAATTGGGGTCTCTAAAAGCACAGTGCAATCAACATTCGAGCATCGCGTAATCCCAACCAGTGCATTACTTGATCATGGCATTCTATCTTTCATCTGAAGCTCAACTAATTAGGTACATAAAGTCATCTCTCCTAACATTCTATTATGCAAAACCTGAGCAGATCCTTAGCCCTAATGTAGCATTCAATTCTCATATACTCACACCAAAACAATAAACATAACACATGTATGGTAATTTGGGAAAACTTAATTGAGCTCGGCTGATTGCATGCATGGTGCCCCTAAAACTTTTAAAAAATTGTTTTTATTAAAAATATTTTTACCACTTCCTTAGTTTGAGTCTGAACGCACTCGAGAGTGTGCCCGAATCCCTCAAACTAAGGTTAAGATACCAACTTGTAGTCTCCCAAAAGTTCATAGTAAAATTTTCATTTTTGAAACATAAACCCATACAACAAGTTGTTCCAAAACCAATCAAAGTGAATATGACAATTAAAAATCAGACTAAAATTCACAAATAGCCAATGTGGAATAAACTCTGGGGATGTTGTGCAGTCAAGTCGGGCCCTTCCCTTTGGAACTGGAAATACCTTAAAAATGTTAAACCACAAACTGTAAACACAAAGCTTAGTGAGTTCCCCAAAATACCACATACTATACATAGAAGGGAGAATTCTATGTGCCAACCATGGCCTTATAATCACTATCATCCCATGAACCACATCATGGACTTTCATTTCCATGTCGGGGGCCAAAACCAAGGTCTTACAAATAAGTGCCAAGAGCCACCTCCTAGTCTTCCATACAAGTATCACAAAGACAAGTTTCATCCTACATATAACTGCCAGGGTCCAGGACCTGGTCTTGCATAAAATTTGCCAGGAGCCATATCCAGGTCTTTCATACAATTTCCAGGGGCCATTAACTAATCTTTCTACATAACATAGTCTAGTGGGCCAGCATTGGTGCCTTCGACCGAGGAGTATAGTGAAAAGACTCACCTCTAAGATGCTGATCAACTGCTACTGCTCTCACTGCCAAAAATACAGATGCTATACACCATCTATATAGTCACACAAGGTAAAACTAGGAGTTTGAGCCAAAGTCAACTCAATTCAAAAGTCAACGGTTAATGTTGACTTTAGCCGACCGCCACGTCGTGGTCATCCATGACCACGTCGTGGCCCATAAACGACAACACATACAGGGATTTCCCAGATTCCATACCGTAGCGATCTCAGGTCACGCTTTAGGCACTGGGTTCTTAACAACTTAGTGGGTTAAGCCGCTTTCTTCGATTCTAAGAGCTCCAAAGCTCATATTAGGTCCTTCCTATGGTCTAGATGGAATTAATCATTAAGCACTAAATCTTGAAAGTTCTTTTTCCATCAGTTCCAGAAGAGTTTCTAGCACCAACACTAATATAAAATTTGTGCTTTAAAAATATGGATGTCAAATGCATGTCCTGAGCTTATATTAGGTCAAAAATAAGGGTTTTACGACAAAGACTTCATGTATGGAATCAAGACCCATGCCTGCTTTAGATCCAAGGCATCAAACACCCCAAAAGTCCTAGAGATTCATAAAGTTGTAAACTTTATGAGATCTCACCACCCCAACCCACCAATACATGAAGAATATGGGACACGTCTTGAGATCTAACAACATACACTACTAGAAAACAGCCCTTTAATGACGCGCAAACAATGACACATAGTGATTTACGATACGCAAAAGCGTACGCCCTAAAAATAATGTCATCTCTTCTAAAAATTGAAGGATAGAGGATACACATTTGTACGTGCCCTGAAATTAGTGTTAGAAAAGAAAAAAAAGAAATACGGAGGACGCCCATCATAAAATGTGCGTCGTGTAAGTGTGTCGCTTTATATTTTTTTAATGAAACACGCATTTTAAGCGGGAAATGAAATCCCAAAAAACTAAAACCCCGCCTCCGCTTCCAATTATCAAGAAAGAAGCCTAGCGTTTTCGTCTTTCCTTTCTTTCTCTCTAACCTAAAACCCAACTTGCGATTTCATAAAGATCTCCCATGGCTTCACATATCTCACTTAAATCATAATAACAATCGGTCGCTAATACACTGAAGTCGGATGAACCTGCTGTGTGCGGCTGTCATTCCAATTTTTCTCCCGTTCTTCTTTCAGGAGCTCTTCAGCCACGGTATCGACTCCAATCTCTTTTCTTGTTAATTCATTCCCTAAATTCTCTTTTCGTTTCAATTTTGTGGAGTATGTAGTTCCGAAAACTAGAAATTTCGTCATAATCTTGTATTTTGTGCATTTGGATCTCTAACATTAATCCCCTGGTTATAATTTTACACACCAAATTTCAACCTATTCATTTTGAACTCTAGATCCTTACTGATGTTGGATGTTTGTATAATCGCATGTCAATTCAATGATAGCATCCTTATGTATTTTCTATACTTCGATTGCGTTTTCTTTTCAGTTAAACGCAGTTATTTTGTTCTAAGAATCAAATAGGTGTTCTAATTCGATCCTTGTATCTGAATACGATTCCATTAGCTTCTTTATTCAACTACTTTTGACTTCCTTCTAATTTACCTGATTTAATTATATTTATTAATTTTAAAGGTTAACGTTCCAAAGACAAAGAAGACATATTGCAAGAATAAAGATTGCAGAGAGCATACATTGCATAAGGTGACACAGTACAAGAAGGGGAAAGATAGCTTGGCTGCTCAAGGAAAATGTCGTTATGACAGGAAGCAATCTGGTTATGGTGGTCAAACAAAGCCTGGCTTTGACAAGAAGGTAAAAAAAAACTAAAACTACTTTTTTAACCTTTTCTTTTTCACCTCATTCACATAATGTATATAATCAGGCAAAAACCACAAAGAAGATTGTGCTAAGGTTGCAAGCATGTCTCACAGCACCTAATTAAGGTTATTACTCTTCTTGAGAATCTTTTTATTAAAAATACAATCTTTTTTGACTTAATGGATAATGGATGAATTAATAACGTTTTAGTTAATAAATTTGGTTATTTTGTTTTGGGCAGAGGTGCAAGCATTTTGAAATTGGTGGAGATAAGAAGGTTGCAATGCCTGGTGTTTGTTTTAAGTACTCTTACTGAATGTTACTAAACTTTTCTCCAAAGGTCAACTCATATGTGAAGCATGATGGATGAACTCCTTTCAATACTGCTACAGAATGATACTAAACTTTTCTACAGAGGTCAACTTATATAGGAAGCATGATGGATGAACTCCTTTCAATTGGATTATCTAATGCTCAACAGGTACATTTTATGGGAATATATATATAGCTATATACCCTCTTTGTGGTCAAGTAGTATGATGTTTTATTTAAAAAGCTGTTTGTTGAAATTTATACTAGGGTGCAGGTGACTTTATCTTGAAATTTACACTCAAAACTATTTTTTTCCTTCTTTTTCTTGTAAGTTTAGCCTTGTTCTTTTCTTCAATTAAGTGTTGTCTGGAGAGTGTTGTATGAACACCAATAAATCAACATTTTATCATTCTCTCCAAATGTAAATCCTAAATGACATAAAATTATTAATTTATATCATTGTTGTGCATATGTTTGTTTTGAGTTTAAACTTGTAAATACTTTAAAGTTTACTGTAAACATGATTGCAATGTTCGAAACCTGGAAGAACATAGTCTTTGGAAACTTGGAATACATAGTCATAGTTTGACCTAATTAGTTGCTTATTTTGTTTATTAGTTGTTGTTTTCTAGCTTATTATAGTCACTGATTGGTTTCTTGTTATGCTTAAATCTTAACAGCTATCATGGCAACCTTTAACAGTAGTTTTGGATCGGCACCTTCTTGCAGAAGATATCGTGTACGTGTTCTTGTGCTGCCATTGTGGATTCGGGAACATCCTTGCTTACTGGTCCAATTGTATGTTTCTCACGTGAAGATTTTGTTAGAACTATTAATCTCAGGGATTTCAAGATTTTCATATTTCTTTTATCTAATTAGTTTGTAAATTTCTGTTACAACTTCTATTGATTTGTTTTATCTTTCCATCGAACGATTATTTGTATGACATTAAATTTTATGCAATGGATTGTATTTCTTGTATATGATATTTTATTTATTATGAGACATTAAATGCAAATTTAATTTGAAAATTAGTAAATGTATAAATAATATTTGTTTTAAACATATAAAATTACGATACGCAAAAATGTGTGTCATCTTCATTTATGACATGACCTTTCTTGACAGGGGCTTTAATGATACGCAACGCGAGTCGTAAATGCGCGTCGTAAGGTTACGACACGCAAATGCATGTTGTTTTCCTTTATGACACGGCCTTCCTTGATACGAATTGCGTGTCGTAAATGTGCGTCGTAAATCGCATGTCGTAACTGCGCGTCGTAAATGCGCGTCGTCTATAGACGACGCGCAAAAGCGTGTCGTCTCTCGTTATGACAGGGCCTTCCTTGATGCGCATTTGCGCGTCATTTGATCGTTTTACGACACACATTGCGCGTCGTAAAAGGCTATTTTCTAGTAGTGATAACAATGTAAATATTAAGTCTTGGACACTCACAAGGTCCATAAGTTATGCTGGAAGATGAGGATGAGGCTTGCAAGGTGAATCACCACACTAACAGGCTTCCTTCTCCTTTAAAGATCACAAAAGTACCAAAAATGAGCTCACAATATGCAAAGGAGGCTAGGGTTATGGTTTCTGAGCTTGGGAGGGTGACGGAGGTTGAATGATCCCAAAAACCTAGCCATAATGTCCTTTAAATAAGGCCTAAAGCCCAAGGATTAGGGTTTTCTCCAAAAAAGATGCCAGCTGTGGCGAGTTATTAAAATCTCGTGATTATAAAAAGTACTGCCACATCATGGTGATGCTCCACCACATCGTGGGCACCCAAAAATGAAAGTTTAAAATTAGATATTAACTTATACCTGAAACGAGTGTTCCAACATCCATGATGGTATGGATTTCATGAACTGCAACTGCATCTACCAAAGAACCTATACGTAGAAGGGGAAACCGATCTATAGGACAAGATTTGATAAGATCCTTGAAATCTACACAAACGCTCTAGTTTCCGTTCATCTTTTCAACGACTACTACGTTGACCAGCCATCTTGGGAATTTTACTTCTTTAATCATCTAAGCTAAATCCAATTTGATCCATTCTCATTACTTCTTTTTTAGGTTATGTAAAAACCCCCCAAATCAGGTTCATCTAAAAATGCAAGGAGAAATACCCCAAATTGTGTTGGATTAGTTTCTAAGCCCATAACTATATTTGGTATGTACTTGACCCGGTTGTGCATGGTCCTTTTGGGTTGCCTTCACCAAAGCAACTTGACGGAATGATTTATAAAGAGAGAGAGAGAGAGGTTATTATGGTTTATTAATATATTATATGAATAATATATTAAAGGATAAATCATATAGTTTAATTAATATTAGTCAGTAATTCATTGAGAATTAATTTTGTGACTAAAAGAGATTAATTGAATACAGGGGCTTAAATTGTCAATTGTGTGGTAGTTGGTTTTGGGCTGTGAACCCTCATGGACATAAGGGGAACGAAATTAGGAGTGGAAGCCCACTCTAATTTCGTCCAAGGAGGCCTTATTCCAGAAGGTTCTCAAGCTGCTTAGGGCCTAAGTCATCCAATTAGGGTTTTGATTGAAACCCTAGCAGCTCAGCTATTTAAAGGGCTCTGGGGCTTCAGTTTCGGCTACACCAAGAAACCCTAAGGTTACTATAGACGAAATTCAACCTCTCTCCTTCTCTATTCTAGATCATCCTCTTGCTTGTGGTGTTTGTGAGCCATTAGAGGTGTTACACTTGTGACACTAAGCTTATTGAAGATTGAAGATTCTTGCAACTATTGAAAGGTATCATCTAAACTTGTTTTGTTATAGATCTCGATTTCAATGTATGCTAGATTAGGGTATTCAAGTCTTGGATGAATTGCACATATAATAGAGAAACCTAGATCCAAGCTTTAGGGTTTTGCATGAGCACATAGGATTGTTCTTTTGTATAAACCCATCAAATTGGTGGTGGTGGTTTTGAATTATCTAGATCATCTTTCACCAACAGAGTGGGAGGAGACGAATAAGATGATTCATGGTCGGAGTTCTGACCACCATTTAAAACAAATTTATTCTTCGTTTTCTTGAGGAATCACTATGGGAAATTCAACATGGCGTTTTCACCATGAAATTTAAAAGTGTCACGGTCGTACGCCATCTCCGCGTCCTCCGTTGTGTTGAATGTTTCAAGACAGAGACGACTATGATTCCGTGGAAGATGAATTTATGCCACCTATTTCCCCCCAATGTCTTTTCCTCACACCTCTGTATAATTTTGTAGTGTGAATCGTTTGAATTGGTTGAAATGGAGGTCACATTTTTTTCATCATCATCTTCAATCCTCTAGGGCTCAAATTCCAAAACCCAGATCTTAAATTATTGAAAAAAGAAATAAATAAAAACAAATTCAGTAGAGATGGGTGTTAAAGAAGTAACCATGACTGCCAAAAAGACAAATCATAAGAGAAGAAATTTTTTATTTTTTTATTGTGAATTGTGATTGTATATAATTGAACAAACCGAATGAGCTAAGTTGTAGATGTGGAACACTGGTATCAACGAATCTGAAAAGGCAGATGACTTTGTAGAGGATGTGTGTGTGTGTTTTGTGGTGTAATTGGAGGTCAGGAGGTGGGTTTATAAGAGAGAAAAACTCATAAATTGTTCCACATGTCCAAATGGACAACCACGTTTTGGCTACGTCATGATGACTGGACATCTACATCTTCTTCGACGATTGTGACATAGTGGACATGTTATTGTAGGTTAGAGGGATGGAATGAGCAGGTCCGCGTTACTTTATGCCCTATACAACACCAAAAATGTTTAGGGATTGATTAGACCATTTCCGAAAATACTGTAGGGATAAAGTGTCATTCCCCTATTAGAATTAATTTTTAATATGTAACTCCCATCTACATATATTCATTTATTAATTGTTTTTGAATCCTATAATTCTAACATTGGTAGTGGAGCCACTCTTAGATCTTAGTGTTGGGGTTTGGTTCTTCAAAATAGTTTAATGATATTACAACTAAAGAATAATCTACAATACAAAAATCTTAAATTTCTAAAATCATGGATTCAATTAGAACACAAAAGATCAACAAATTTCAATGATACTTTATTACAATTTACTACCTCAAAATTATGGTGTCATTTGGTTTTGGAGACCAAAGGGCCTTTGACCTAGCGGTAAGGAGTGACTCTCTCATATGAGTGGTCATAGGTTCAAGTGTCACTAGGAGACATAGGTGGTGTTTCAGAAAAGATTAGGATAATTTGTCGTTTCAATTTTTTTTTTGGTTTCAGAGAGTAATTACCATAAATTGTAAATTTATAGTTAGTCCACACATAACATAAATAAAAGCTGTTAGGCCACCAACAAGATCAAACTAATATCTCATCCTTGCTTTTTGAGATTGAACAACAAGGAAAGAGGATACATAAGGACAAATCTAAGATTATGTAAAAGGAAGGAGTGATTTTTATGATTTTATCAGTATAAACATTCATGTTGATTATAACATAAAACCTCGTTAAATACTTATTCGATGGGCTTAAAACCCACTTAACTTACGATGCAAGTATTTAAGCCCAATCTATTATTAATTTAACTCATAATTAGCTTATTTACACTTTTAATGAAGCAAACTATTTTATCGAAGTTATTTATAAATAATTTATCTATTTTTTTATTTCACCTTTGACCAATAAATAATGCATAATTATTATTTAATTGTCTATTTATGATGCTCAGAAATAAATTTATATATTATAAATATTACAAATATCAGTTTTTTTTGTAATTCATTTTAGTGTGATGTCACACGCCCGGACGAGGCGGCGGAACATGCCGGGCTGTGCGACTTAGTTCATGGATCACATGCAATTGGATATATAGCACAAATACACCGACAAACAAACAGTAGTTGTATTCCATCTTGAAGTTTGAATACAAGGTTTTTACAGATAATAATAGAGTACATGAATTGCTTTATACAGGTAGGCAAATATAACAACAACTAGACAAACTAGGTTGCCCGAAATCTATGACCATTCCGTCGTCTGAAATGCTAGTTTAGTGATTTCCTGAGAATACATGTAGTTTTGAGGGTTAACACAAGGTTGGTGAGAGTTACAGGTTTTCTGATAATGTAGGAATGAAACTTTTAAAATGACCAAAAAGTATTCTCTTTTTAAGTGAAACCATATCTATTAAATGTTTTGTAGAGAACCTTTTAGAGATACCTTTAAAGCCAAAAAGTATATTATATGTAAGTAATTCCATACTTAAAAGGTGTAACATTCGAGATTTTGGGTATGTTTCTCTTTAATCATTTTATAAAATTTCTATCTTTTTAGTCCCTCGCTTGTACGCAGGGCGTACTTTATGAGTACGCTTAGCGTACTAGCTCATCGATGGATCACAGGTCCACCCACGTACGCGCGGCGTACTTGGAAGTACGCATGACATACGTAATGCAGGGGAAAACCCTAATTTTTAGGGTTTGTGTCCTATTTAAGAAACTTATAACACCTTTGGACCTTCTATTCATCAGCCTCCGTCTCTCTATACCCTAAAATCGAAACCCTAGTTGTCATTTGTGAGTTTTGAGCTTGAAAGTGGGTTTTGGTGGTGTTTTTAGTGAAGTAGAAGAATAAGAACACTTGGAGGTTGCTTGGGAGTGGCTTGAGCTTGTAGATCCAAAGTCATATTCATCTTAGCAAGCCATTTGAGGTAAAAAGTTCTCATCTTTATGACTCTACTTGCTAGATCCAACTTTGGGTGTTATTTGTGCATTTTTGGGTCTTTTAAGCCACATTTGAGATTATGGTC